GTTTCGAATATTTTCTTTTGAAACAGACTACATTTTTTTCAGGTCAGATCTTAGTTGTACCATGAGAAGTTTTTGTAACTTTTTCTTCAGTCAACCTTTATTATCTTTTTCTTTAGCCTAATCTTGGATCAGACCACCGTTCTGTAATTAACAAAATAACTGGCTTTTGAGATAGATTATGAAATAATCTAACTTTCCCTTTTTATTGGATTGTTATGCTGCTTCATTTGATGCAACATAGCTCTCTTAGCTATTTCTCAAAAATCTGCTTGAATGTCATATTCCTATATTTTGTACGACTATCAATCTCCAAAATACCAAACTGCGTCTCGTATTTTGTGAATAAGGCTATATCAATCCGTGAGTTTGGCAGATTTGCTGACGTAATATTAAGTATACAGTATGCAAGAAAGTTTGCGTCATTTAGGATCTGTAACTTATTTAAAATTGATTGTCGAAGAAAAATACAATCTTAGATTTGAAGTATTCATATATTTGTTGTTGATTTAATACTTGGCTATGTGTGTCCTCTAGGCGTGACGTTGATCGGCTTGCGAGCCAAGACCATTCATCTTTATTCTGTGTTTATCAATTACATAGAACGAGTTTTCGTGGATTATCTTTTTATGCGCCATCCCCCGGTTCTCCAACCAGTCGGTACGCTCTTCCTGTGCATATTTGTCGTTGACGGGCGAAGTCCCGATATCCGTATTCCAAGTTAGAAAGCTGGTTATTTCGAACGTGTATCAAAATTGGATCAGCAAGAATCGTCACGTATGGAGATTTACAACGACGCTAAAACCATTTTTGCATTGAATGCTGATCCGAGACAATGTTTCTTTGAAGATCTAAATCTTCCTTTGCAAAGTGAGTCTAGGGTTTTTATTGACGTACTAACAGTCGCAAAGCTCTTATTTGTATGTGACCAGAAAGACACCAGTTCTATTTAAAGATGTCTACCTTTATCATTTCAAATGTTTGGTTATTGATGGAAGAATTCTATATTATACCCAATCGGGTTTTACTAACACCTTTAAAGGTTAACCCGTTGGTTTCTTTAAAATTGTACTTTTGCTCATAGTCAATGCATTTTCATATGTCAGGTTTATAAGATAGCAAATTTTTAGAAAATTGTTTTTTGCTACCAAATTTGTTTTGACGACTTCACTTTGTCGTCAGTAGATTTTTGATAATGATCGAATTATTTTGCGGTTTTCGGCCTGCTTTAAGCCAAAACTTCTCTATTTCATTGGTTACCTGGCTGTTTTCAGTCTGAGTTTTGGACTTTGATTTAGACGTGAAACGACCAAACATCATTTTGAGTTTCTTAATAGTGACTCTAACTTTAAACAGTTTTTGAGCACGACCACTGAGCCCTGCTCTGAGATCTATCCTCGTTCAGTCTTTGATATCAATAACCAATCGCGGTATTAGTTGTGCTATGTAAAGCGTAACATTAATACAATATTTATATACTCAGGCCCTGTGTGTTCTCAGTAACTTCAATGACTATCGAGGCTGTAATATAAAATATGTTTACTAGTGCTATACTACCGGATAATTTCAGAATGATTTAAGACTCGCGAAAAACTTACGGGTCCTTTGGGTTAGGAACAATGCAGAACTACGACGAGAATCCAATATTGTAAAATAAAATTTTGAAATAAATTTTTTACAACATTGATTCTCGTTGTTGTTTTGCATTGTTCCTGGCTATTTCCTTGTATCATATTATTACTCATTACAAGATTCAGAGAATCCGGCGGACAGCCTACCCTGCGTGTGTGCCTTCTTACATCTTCTATTAGTTGTTGTTTTTCAACGTGATGTCAATTAAGATAAACTTGTTAGCCTTAACTATATTTGACTTTAATCGTTCAACTGCCCGTAAAGGTTTGCAGTATTTAGCTGACAAAGGGGAGAGTTAGAATGGATGGCCTTTGATAGTCACACTGTCGGTAAAATCCCGCAAACGGAGATTTAGTCTTTATTATCAATGCGTCTATTAATGGAAACTAAATTCGACCACGGGGGATGACGAAGTTAGTGGAAAATTCTACAGCAAAGCACTGCATAGTTGATAACAATCCTAAATTTCTCAAGACGGACTAACCCAATTTATTTTACGTTAAGCCATCGCAACCACAATTGTGATTATGCGTGGTCGAAATCTGGAGGAATTTCTAATTTTCATTTGGTGCTTCTGCTAATGTTACTTTATCGGGCAAAGGGCACAGGAAAGATAAGCAAAGTTACATCCCTCTATAGTCCAAGATCCAAACATAAATCCAAACTTTGTAATAACTGCTTGCGATAAAGCTTCCCTTTTAACGAAAGACGCGTATAGGTATTTCTTTCTTGCGATTAGTTAGCAACAGTTAATGATGTTTGGAGATAGTAAAACACGGAGCATGGTCTTCCGCTAGGAAACTATGATAGTTTTTTGTGTTTTTCCTGCTTTACTTTGCCGCCTCTCATCGTTGAATTATAAAATATACAGCAGGCAGGCATCATTCCAAATAGCAAGATAAACAAGTCAACGATTTGAGGAGGTTTTTTAAGATGTCCGTGAACATAGCTTCTTACTGCCAATCTTGTGTACATAATATGGTCGGGAATCCCTCATGAATCAACCATGGGACCGATTGTTTTGAATTTTTTGTAGAAAATATATTATTTATTCACTTCCGTAGCTTATTGATCTTTTTGTACTGTTCTTGTGGAGAATGATTTGGCTTAAAGTTAGGCTCAATCCACATAATTCACAAGACAAGAAATTAGTCCTCAGGGAGAGGTTTTGTTGAAATCCCTCTTGTTTCATTAAGGGAGATTGCAATTTTAACTTTGAAACTATTGGGAAGACTGCCATTTGAACATTTGAAATGCCAATCAGCATTTATTTTTATTGTTTTGTTTTACAATCAGACCATTGAAAATGAGGGTATTTACATTTTCTTAGGTAAAATGGAAGAAAAAGTTTCTGAACGAATTAAACAAGTTTCATAAGCTTTGTCTTGGATTATAAAGTTGCATTTGAAAGGAGACGTTGAAGAGAGTTTAAGCCGTGTGCAACCTGCGCATTTTGCTGTTGGTTTTTTCAAGCGGCTTTGTTTATTTGCCGACAACATTTGTAACAGTTATGGGTTGCATAAACCAGCTGCATTCCGGTGTAAGTGTTCTATGACCACGTGTATATAGTGTGCTCACGTATGGTTTTTCAAGATGCTTCGTTCTGATAAACATAACATTTCTTATCTTTTTATACCATCAAATTTGCTCTCTTTGCTCCTCGAAGCGAAAGATAGGAAGTCTCTCAGTTATTTAGACTAATTGAATGTGTTTTTGTTGTATATTTTCTTTCGTCGATATTTCTTAAACTGCTCGGATTGACAGCCGAATTCGCTAAATCCCACCTTAATTTAAAATAAACCCTTCCCAAGCCTTTGAGCCTAACTAATCAATTGATCAACAGCCTCTTTTGGATAACGTTACACGTTTTGCTCAGTAAATCAATGTAGAATTGGTTCCAACTTTTCATCAGATTCTTCATAAAATCGTCAGAAAGTCAAACATCCGCTAAAAGCTCTCTTTCTCCTTATGTAAATGTCCAATCAACCCCTGAATCATTGGCAAGCTTGCTGGTTGTTTATTTTAACCATCAGAAACCATTAATTATGATTTGAATTATCATTTGACTTGAAAAGAAAGTACACTTTAGAGAGTGTCGTTTGTTCTTTAGCTGCTCTTAACGTATGTAATCAGGGTATGCGTATGTTCTTAGGCCCCGTTCACATTGCTCCGGATTCAAATGAAAACGGATAAAAAAGTATCCGTTTGTGCCTTGCGTTCACATTGCTCCACCTTGAAAATGGAGACTTTTGAGAACGCACTTTGAAAACGGAGAATTTTGAAAACGGAGTCTTTTTAAAACGCAAAAATGCAGTGTGAACACCGAAAACGGATACTTTTGAAAACGCTAACAACAACAACAATACAGCAAGATGCTTAGACCGCGCCAATTTGAACAACTTTTCTTAACACGGCTGATTCACTCGAAGTTAGTACACTACTCGGAGGGACATTAGTGGCAGTGAGTTGTTTAAAAAGTTTTTTAGCAGTCGCGAGTGCTGTAAACCAGTTCGTGGCGTTTTCCTTTTTATCCAGAGCGGAGCGATGTGAACGCGTCATCGTTTTCATACCGTTTTCAAATTTATCCGGAGCATTGTGAACAGGCAAAACGGATCGATATGAAAACGGATAAAAACGAATACGGAGCAATTTGAACATAGCCTTAATGTATATAGTCAGGGTCTTTGGATACATTATAATGGCGTTTTATGCTTAGTAGTTTCAAAACATGCTAATATTGTTTACTTTTAGTATCCGTCTCAGTTTTTATTGCATATTTTTTATATTTTTTGCATTAGCTCAAGTATCAACTCTTGCTATGTCTATGTCCGTTATAGGGGTCTGTCCGTTATGGGGATATGTGAAGGATGTCCGTTGTTCGATGGTATCCGTTTTTTGGAGATGTCCGTTGTGGGAAGGTGTCCATTATGGGAAGTTGTCTTCTGTACGGAGATGCTCGTTCTGGAGGAGTTCCTTTTGGGGAGCTTTCCATCGTGAAGGATGTCCGTTGTTCGATGGTATCCGTTTTTTGGAGATGTCCGTTGTGGGGATATATCCGTTTTGGGAAGGTGTCCGTTACTTGTACAAGGCAAAGGCTGTTGTAAAAAAATTAAGACCAAATTATTTCTTTGTTTGGAAGTGCCTATTGGAGGTCGCCAAAATAGAGATTTTGCTTTTTGAAACAATCCCACTACAGGACTTGTAGAAAATTTTAGAGGCTTGTGCAATTTCCATTTACTTGGCGATATTAAAGTCATTAAAGTTTACTACTTCATTTTTTTAATCTGTATTATCACCATTACACATATCATTTGATAATCTCCGCTGTTGGATCGTTGATGACGCTCTTATTTTTCGCTTCTTTTTTACAGGCTCTTTGAATATGGTGGACAGTTGTCTCCCAGAGCCACCACCTCTTGAAAGCCTAGATTCGTACAGTCCCTTGTCAGGAGGGGCCAGCACTCCAGGCAGCTCATCCAGCCTGACGTTCTTTCCTACGAATTCAAACAGCCCGAGTTCGGTTGGTAGTGAGCGTCAGGTGCTGCCTTGCTCCGTTTGTGGTGACAAAGCATTCGTCAAGCACTATGGCGTAGTTGCGTGTGAAGGCTGCAAAGGGTTCTTTAAAAGGTCAGTGAGGAACAACCGTAAATATCAATGCTTGGGAAGCCAGGTTTGCGATATTGACAGAAAGTCCAGGAATCGATGTCAGTTCTGCCGATTTCAAAAATGCCTTGAAGTTGGAATGAAAACCGAAGGTATGTGAACTTAGCTCTGCTTTGTTTTCGATGTATAATGTTTATTCATGAAGTAGCGAATGCCTGAAATGGTCGTGTTTTTCCCAGGATAAAAGTAGTTTAGGCAAAGTAGAGAATGGTTCAAAGGAAGGGTGGCGCTAGAGACCAAAAACTCAATATCCCGACGGTTATATTCCTCATAAAACCGACGAAATTTTAACAGAACTTTCGACAGAATAAATTTAACGAAATTGCACGAATCAAGACCGGTTTCAGGGGGCATATATTCCTAAAAATTGACATGCGAAGATCGCTAGTCTTGTTTTGCTACCTATCTACTTTACCAAGTAAAAGACAAAACGTTCATTGCAAATCCATGGATAGCTAATTTGATTGGAAAAGCTTGGATAACCTGACTGCCATTAGGGGTCTAATAAATAGCTTGGGGGTAAAGATCCCTTGCCAATTCAAACTGTTGTACAGCAGTGTACTGAATGAGAAGTAATACAATGGGCAGCCCCCCTTCCCCCTAATATGAATTTCTTTCCGACGGCACTGCGAAGGCTTATGAGCTAAACAAAAAGTAGCATTTTATATTTTGCCAGCTTTGTTTGAAGCGGTCATTTGAATGAATGAGTATCTAGCTTATTTGCCTTTATGGAATTTAGACATTGCAATAATTTGACTCAGATTCCACAACCAAGAATCTAGCTTATAATCCAATTTTAATTGGAATAAAGTTGTTGAAGGGAGCATAGTTTTGTTAGCCTGCGCGCGGACTCTAAGTATCTTACCAGGTTCTGGTAAGACACTTGGAGTCTGCGCGCAGGCCAAGTTTTGTAGGATGCAAATTGAGCGCAGTACTTTTAGTTGGTAAAAATCTACATGATTTATCTCCATCAATGTTTCTTAAGAGATCATATTGCTATAACGTATAAAAATTTTGTGAGCTTTGTTTCACCTTTAGTTAAAATTTAAGCTTATCCCATAACTTGATTTTCGAAAGAATTATGTCTCTAAACGTGTTGTGGCGTATTATCATATCTGAAGCTTAGTAAGGAGCGTTTGTCAAGGTTGACATGTTGATCGATGTTTAGCTCGATGAATAACATATGTACCGGCAGATGCTGATGGGTGTCGCCTAAAGATATAGATCGATAGTTCAGTAAAGGATAGGTCGAAAAGGAGAATTTTTGGTATCATTTAGTTACAACACTAGCTTTTTAAAGCCATTCCATTGAATTTAGATATAGATAAAGGAGTCAAACAGGTACGTTTGTTGATCTATTGTGCTTAAAAGCTGTAGAAAATTATTCAAGGAGTATCATAGGTATCATGCTTCCGGGCTTCTAGGATTTTTCCTTGCAATTTTCGGAAGCAGAGGAGGAGGTTTCTCTGTTGCCGTATTCGCAACTTAGGCTATAATCTTAAAACAGTTTCAAAAATTCTTCTAGCAGAAAAAGACCAAGTACAAAAAAGTGAAACCATGTAGTCGCTGACCCGAAGAACATGATTTTTCAAATTTTCTTAGGCCCTTGCTTCCTTTACGAAAAGTCTTCTAAATTCAGTGGCAAACCTTTCTCCATTGAGTGGGAAACCCTGGTGTTTATGGATCACGTGCTCTTGAGAGTTCCAACACGTGACCATAGCGGCTGTGTGTGACTGTTTATATTGTCTGCAACATAATAGAAGCGAATTAAAATGCTGATGTGAGCACTAATCCTGAAATGGAAAAAACAGACACTTGAAAGGATCCATGCTTAGGTCTGGTAAAAAGACAGATTACTGAGTGTTTAATGAAAATGTCAGCTGGCCTTTAAAAGGCGTTTCTGTTTTCCATGCTAACTGACGTGCTCTAATTTGATCACGGATTACTTTTAGTCGGCATTTCGCAATAGAAACGGGTACTTTCCTACGTAATACAATCAGATTGGCAGAAATCCTGTATAACATATATTTGCACGGAGCTGTTGACGACTTGAGCTCAACATCTTTCTTCGTAGAATGTACATGCAGGCCGTCTAACCAAATTTTATGTCTGTTTTTTGCTGTGAGCAGTAGTCGATCAAATCACTTATACCTGATAAATGGGGTTAAAACACTGTTGTTGGTGTCTTTAATTTTCCTAAACACAGATCCTGCTTGCTTGAATATGTTTGCTCTGTGACTTATGGGAACGTTACTTTGTTAAGAGATGTGAAATTTTTCAAAACCTTTCTTTGAAGAGTATATCCCATAATAATTTTTGACTTATATTTTCATTATATCATTTCGTAGTGCAGACATTGTGACCTTCTACTGCATCATTATTCATTCATTTAATTCATTCATTTTTTCCATGCGATCTTTTTCTATTCTCCTAATTTTGGATATCAACTTATTATCAACATTCATTCAAGGTGCTGATGAAAATATTTATCATCTTGCCTATCATGGTCTGCGTTCTAATAATCTTTCGCTTTCACCAATAATCAAACTTTTTGATGATTTTGTATTCTTATTTTCTTACTTTCATATCTTTTCAATCATCATCATGTATTCAAACAGTTTAACACCAAAGGATCTCCTCTTCTTTCACAACTCAATATTTTTGTCATAATCTAGTCGTCGACATGTCCTTCCCGACACGTCAATGTCATCGGAGACTTAACCATTTTTGCTCGTCGAACTGACACGAGAAATGACCATTCTCCCATTTTTTCAGATACAACGTTGTCTTTTTCTCGCGCAACCACATAACTCACAAACTTATCTGTCATTCTTTGAATGTCGATCACGTGTCATGATATAAATTTTTGCTACGAGAACTCTACGTCTCTAATTAATCAAAAGATTTCTTTTTACAGCGTTGCCGATTTTTTAACCCTAAGCCAGGGATATCATTCAGAATTCCAAGAATCATGCAATATTTTCTAGAAAAAAGCTTCTTCTTTTCCTCCTTCAATTTTTTCATACAGACTCAAGCTGTAGTAACCCCTGGCTTAGTTTTGCGCATCTCCCCCTATACTTTGTCGTTTTTTTGTACATCTAAATATAATTGCATTCGAACCAAGCCTTGGCAATGAGATTTCAGCGATCGATGTGTAAGCCATAAAAGATTATGTTCATTATTGAATTATTTTTCGAATATTGTTTCAAAACTTCTTCAAGTGCAACTTCTAAATGCTTTAGGCTTCCGATCTTTCATTTATCCAACAAAGCTTTTATTTGCTGCAATCTTGCTTTGTATGCTTGTGCCAAGAATTTTCTTCCGTTCGAAGATATGTAAGTTTCCTGTTCATGCTGCATCTAACTTCCAATTTCAGCTTCCTATAGATAACAAACGTTTTGCAAGCGCAAATCCTATGCCCAAACTTGGCCTCTAGAAGCTTTCGCCATCCACTACCATTAATCCTTTCTAGGATTTGGCGGAGAATGTATTACATTTTATTAATATTGAAACAAGAGTTTTTTCAATTCTGAACAGAAGGATTACAACGCTGAAAACCAGGTTTATTCGCAGCATGAGATAAGACAAATTGTCATCGAACAAAACGAGCGCATTATTACCAAACAATGGGGTATTGTGAAGCCCATTTTTGACAATGGAACTTTACGAATCCCCCCACTGAAAATATAGAAGGTTGTTCTCTATTTGCCAGTGTGCGGGAACATGCTTGGATAGGATGCTTGTGGATACAAACTCATTTAAGTTTGACGATTGTGAATTCTGTTGTCAAAACTGGAAACAAGTTTGTACAAAATCAACGGCCTAGGCAGTTTGAGAGAATTGCACAGCGTTCGCTGCTTGTTAGGTCATCGGCTTTGAGGTCGTGAAGATTTTGTTTTCGTTGAAACATTAGCGATGCTTGCAAATTGCTTAACAATTGCAAACTAGGATTGATTTTAAATGCAAACAAAAGGATCATTTCATTGACCAAATCGTAAGGCTCAGCTGTCGTTGCTCTGGTTGAGGTCGCGGCACTTTGCAGAGGCATCTCGTCTGCATTCAACACACATAAAGTTTCGAAATTTTCGTCATGTCTTGGTCAATCACAGGTATAGCTACTCTTCCGAACATTGAATTTTCAAGGATTTCCGATGCTTATATTTCATTATAGTTTTTACAAACCCGTTTATTTGTTCATAATTTATCAGATTTTGCTTCTCAACTCATGCAGTCTTTTCGCCTTCTTCTTGTCATTATTTTTGTTCTATTCTGATTTCGAAGTGTTTTCTATATTATATTTATTTTATTATTGCATCAAATATCATTACATAACATTTCCAAGTTTGGGTCTTGGTTTATTACCAATGATATCCTACAATTTGATATTGTCATCCATTTTCATTCAGTCCAATGCGTTGGAAGCCTTCCTCACTTCTGGAGCAGTATCTCAAGATATAATGACTTCCCCATTTTCCTCGGTTGTGTTTTTCTTAGCGCAAATGCAGTTGAATTTCGCAAATCTCCATTTAACTCTCTTATTCAATATTTATCTTCCTCAGTTAACATTAATCGCTCATTGCTCTCTTTTTTCGTTTATGAGTATACCCCTATTCGTATACATCTATTTTATCAAATTTTCCTTTCATAACCTCTTGATAATGATTTTATTTGAAAATTAATTGATTAAGGTTGCCGCACCGTTCGCTTGTAAGTTGAGTCTGTGTGATAAAATACACCATAGACAGCAAAAAGCGCAGTCTTGCGAAATCATTTTCGTATGATGCAGAAAAAATCGCAATATCTTATAAAAAACAATTAAACCACAAAGCGTTAACAAGATTTTCTCTTCACAATATGCCAATAATGTTGTAAATGATTTCAACAGAAGCTTAAATATACTGCGTACTGCGTATTGCAAAAGAAAACGATAACTTTTATATTTAATTCCTGAAACTAGCATTTTGTGTCATATTCTTGTTTGTTTTATTTGATAGATTTAATCTTATAAATTTTTTGCTGTTTCGTATATTTTCATTTTTTACATACGTTTTATTTCTGGCAAAGTAACTCCTCTTGTTGAATGCATTCTCGAGCTTGCTACAATGTGCAACAAGCTACAAGCAACAAACTGGGCTGACATTTTTTATCAAAAAGTCAATAAAATCCAGGTGGTCTCTCAAAACAAAGTTTTTGACCTTATGGATACTTTAAATTATCAAAGTCTCTGCTTTAAAGAATCCAGATCAATGCCCTGTAAGAAAAAATGAATGTTTCTGAATGAGTCAAAAGATTGCGTTTTTCATCACTGTGTTATCAAAATAGTCTCTTTCTGTCACAAATCTTGCCCCATTGAGTGAGTCCCTTATTAGGCTTGTGAGTGGAAACATTGTAGGTTTTACTGTTTAAGGCTGACTGCCAACTGCAATCCCGGACAAAAATGGTTGAGACTTTTCAAGGAAAGCTCATATTTTGAAGGAGAAATGATAGAACTACAAATCCAACATTGCTTCGGGGGTATTGGGGGGATTCGAATTTACAGAGGCAAGGTAAAGTAGAAAATTACAAACATTGCATTTTGTGTCAACATTTTGTCTGGGATTGTAGCATATTATACCTTATGCTTTGCTGTCTTTTCAGCCGTCCAAGATGAAGCACTGAAAAAAGATAAAAAGGATACAACCAAGCGAAAAGCTGGCAGCGGCACAGGTAACTTGCCCAAAGGAAGCCCAGTCGAAGTGACGTCATCAAGGGTAGAAATGCCTTTGATACCGATTGACTCTGTAGTGTCGGCTGAAGGTATGGTTGACCCAGCAATACAGCTGTTTGCCAACACCTCTGTCGATCCGATTAGGCACGTTTGCCTTGCTGCTGATAAGCAAGTATGTTTTTCGTTGATGATGTTTTTGCAGCCATTTCTAGCAGTCATTCAAGTATTTCAGAAACCGTCATTGAAACTGAAATTTCAACAGGCCATTTGTTTAATAATATTTTTCACGCAACACAAGTTATCGTAAGGCTATTTCTGGCTTTATTCATACTTTGTATCATCATAAGCTCACTTTTATACCAAATTGTCAAGTACAAAATAAGTTATTTCTTACTTGCAGTTCCACAAGCCTTATCTTTGACAACAGTTTCCGTGATAAATTCAGATGTATTGTGAAAATCTAATCACTCATTTCTATTATTTCAAAGACATGCCCTGGTAAAAGTAGAACTTTAAGAGTCTGAGTTTAAGGAGGAAATGTCTTAGTCAGCTGAGTTTGCCCAAGTCTGAATTTTGATAATAATGGTAATAACACGACTATTTATACAGGATAACCTATCAGCATAGTAATGATACTGTTATCATTAAAATAAGAGAAAAAAACTTGAACAACTTAGTGTTATTCATGGCCATGTGATTTGACCTGCACAGCAGACATTTTCGACTGCAGATAAACAGTTTATTATACTACTGCTTATCAATGAAACCCGGTTTTGCTATCTTCGCCTGTTATCTGTCTAAAATTTTAAATCCAATTTACAATGAAAGTTTTTTGATAACATCGTTATTAATTTAGATCGATCAGCAAGGTGTAGTTTTCTCTCAAAACATTTCCCTCAAATTGTTGTTTTCTTGGTGCCTATGACATTTCTCAATTTTCTCTAAATATAAAAGTTTTCGGTACATGTGGTCAGATGGTGCTATTCTTGATAAATTAACTAAATTTTCTGGTGCGCAATGTGCCTACTTTGTAATTAGATCAAAGTTTTCATCTTTTTTATCGTTTATGTATCACTGCAAAGCGGGGACTTTGCTGATAGCGCCTTGTGAAAACTGTTCGTATCAACCACAGACTAAATTTTATTATCAAAATTAAAACATTGTTTTTAAATTAACTCATTTTGTAGCTTTATATATGAAATAAACCGTGTTGTGATGTTGAAGTGCGATTTTTGGAAATTAATGAAATAACGCTAGAGTTGATCCTCGAGGAAGCAAGTGTTGCGTGCACAGAGCGCCGACTAATTGCAATTGTACTTTTATCGTCACTTTATCATCGTTTTGTGTAAATGTGTTTACGAATAAGCTCATATTTGCATGAATTTTATTTCACTAGGGATCCCTAAGAAATTTTTCAATGTTATTTATCTTTTAAGCTTGAAGTAAAGGGAGCAAGAATTTAATAGTGATGAGGGCATGGCTAAAATCACAGTTAAAAAATTTTTCATTGCTGTTGTGCAAACAGCTTTTATTATGGTCCGAACTTTTTACAATTTGAATTTTTTTATTAAAAGCACGATTTGGTTTACTTTAGCTGGCCTCCCTTGCTGAATGGGCGAAGAAATTACCTCATTTCACTAGCCTCGAAATCACCGACCAGGTAGTGCTTTTGCAATGGAGCTGGCCAGAGCTTTTGATTGGAGGTTTCTGTCACCGCTCATGCGCAGTTAAGGATGGGATCCTTCTAGCTACAGGTATGGGTAATGAATTTCTAGCGTTATATGGAGAGTGCAGCCCATTAGGTTGCTTATGTTTCAGTATTGCCTATCGCCTTTGTAAGGTGTGCCTAAAACGAGAGGACGGGTTAAAAAAGTCATTAATCGTTGGGCACCCGCTCCACTATAGAGCAAGTTTCAAGAGTTAGCACCGCCAGTAGAGCATAAACATTGCGTACATTCTATGTCTGATAAACTGCAAGAAGCTTATCAAATATTCTTTGCCAGTATCAAATGCTGCAAAGTTGTGGTTCTTTGGCTGATTAATTATTAGGCAATCATTACTGCTGAAAAGCCCATAATTTGCAATCATAAAGAGAAACTTATTTTGAAATATAGTTTATTAACAATACTATCACTAGAAATTTTAGGCATTGTTGCATTTGAGTGCAAAATGTTCAGGCTAGGTTTTCTTGTCATTCAAGTCTATTGTTTGCTGGGAATAACAAAAAGAAATTTTCTTGTTAGGAAGTTCAACAGATAATTGAAGTTTTCCCGCAAAACATTAACTATACCACTCGCAGTAGGCGAGGCTAAATCAAAGGAACTTGTGAAGATCGGGTCAACAGTGAAAATTTTCTTAGCTTCAGGTCACTGAAGGCTTTGTTTTCAAAATACCCTTGCAGTTTTATTGAAAACAGATCTTTCTGTCTCGGCAAACTTTGTTTCTGACAAATAGATTATCATTCTTGTCATCCTCTTAACTGTTGAACTTTCAATTTCAAGTGAAGCTTGGGCACGTCCATCATTCTAAAATTTTCTTCAAGCATTAAAAAATCGACTGATCTGTCGCGCAGTTTTCAGGTTTTTGTAAGAAAATTCCTCAGTAACACTTTCAGCTTTCTAAGGCTTTTGATCTAATCAACAGAGTTAAGAACACTGATCTTCTCGTTAAATATTGACGATTTATTCCCGTTAGCCTTGTCAGTTCATGGTTGTTTTTTTGCAGCGTAGCCTTTAGTTTTAAATAAGTCTCAACTACAATTTAACCGATGGTTTTGAAGCAACGATTACAAAACTATTGCGGCATATGCAATTTTTTATATACACTATAGAAAGAAATATAAGTGAAATGCAACATTAAGGTTACGTCTACACTTTTTATCAGCAATTTCTTCACAAAATGGACTGTGGAGGCATATAACGTAAACAACGATCTTTGGCGTCTAGAAATCAATTCTTCGATATCTTCATAACGATGTTTTTTAGCCTTTTTTCCTATCCGTGCTCATTCGGAACCGTTTCACCCGTTTACACGAGAAAGCTAAACTAATTCCTAAGTGATCCTAATTCGGTACGGCTAGCAGTTTTATTAAGATTGTTTCCGACGGTTCCTGTGTGAATGGAAGGGCAAATCGTACTCATATTAGTCCGGTTTTGGATAGAACCTCTCTTGTAAACACAGCTCAAATCTCAACTCGCATATAGCAGGAAATTTGATCATCCTTCTGAATTTATTTGTTCTTTAAGCGGAATTTCCTTTTTTCGCTGTGAAATTGTAGGAAGGCATCTAACAAAGAAGAAAATGCTCTCCTTATTGCGTTACATCTCCTAAGAATTAAAAATTCATCTTTTCAATTAGTAATCCTTTTTTTCTGGGTTTATAACACTGTGCCCCCTCCTTACAATAGTTAAGAAGCTACATCAATGGGCGTCTTTATCTTTGACTGCTTGAACCATGATCATAACTTACGCAATTTAATGCTCTTTATATTTAAGGTCTGCACTTAACGAGAGAGAATTTAAAGAAAGCTGGCGTTGGTGCATTAATAGACAAGATTTTCGGAGAGGTTATCGAGAAACTGCAGGAAATGCAATTAGATCGAGCTGAGTGGGGGTGCCTTCGAGCCGTAATGCTCTTTTCACCAGGTAAATATTTTAGTCATCTTTTGTCATTTAATACTCTGTAAAATATGATCACAACTCAGACCGAACTTTTTGTCTATATTGTTTTATCATGGTAATGCTGCGTCATTTTGCTCTAAAATCACATTACACCGCATCTTTTTGGTTTAGACATGACCTTCTGTGTTACGACTGAATTCTCGATAGCCAGCGCGAGGTTTGATTGCGAAATCTGCCAAACAGGTGTGTCCAGGCGCGTTTTTCAGACCTAAAACTCTTTTCACCGTTAATTTTGACCAGATTAAGAGAATGTATGTTTGACTTCATTCTTCACCTGTTGGAACTGAGCGGAGACACTTTAACGACTTATGCAGCAAAAATCAATTCATTTTTCTTTTTTACTGGCTGTCCTCGAGAAAGATAAAATTTCAGTTTATGATGTCGGTCACGTTATGACTCGTTATTCATCGCTACCTTAGTGGAAGACGAATCTACAATCCGTCACAAAATATATTGAGACCAGTGATAAAATCAGGACAAATTTATTGACAGTAATCTCCTAGAATTGTATTTGACCCCTTCCCCCTTCAAGCAATGTTGTTGAGATCTTGTTATTGTATACGGTCTTTGCACACATGATTTGCAACTATTTCACCAAATCTCAACAAACAACATTGCTTGGAGGGGGTGGGGGAGGAAAGGGGGCGGTGGAAGGGTTGAGCAACAAATACGTCTGTCTGAAGCCTAAGTCAAAATTTCGAATGGTTTACAAAATAATTTCGATAGGTTTTCTTTTGAGTAAATACGCCAAACAGACTTTGGCATTAGTACGAGATGGGAAGGAAAAGCAGCCTCACAATTTTTGTGGACGATTGTAGATTCCATTTGTTTTGGAAATATTATTCTGTCAATTTTTCCCAACCAGTGAGAAAGAATGCATCGTATGCAAATTTGCATTAAGGCAAGGTTTCGCAGTAAAAATTACTTCTTAAAGCACTTCACGGTATTTAATCAAAACTATTATAATTTAGTTGCATAACATAAACCAGAGTTTCAATCACTCTCTTTTTATGACACCTTTTCTACAAATTTCCTCCGTATTTCGATTCGAGCAGACTGTTCCATAAGATGCACAAGTGCTCCTACCACAACAGAATAGATTCTGCAATGCTAAAATTTCTTTTGCTGCTGTGCATATGCATATGTTGGCTCGGTACCCCAGCATTGTGTTCTTTGATATCTGTGTTCAAGTGACAAACGAAATCTTGGCTAATTGGGGTCCAAACCCAGTTTCCCTCGTACCAAAAATAGCAGTTTTTTATCTCTATCTTTTAGATCGGTTTGGTTATCATACAGATGACAAACCATCCAGTCTGAACAGCTTGTAGACTTGAACAGAACCGCTTTTTAATGTAACTTTCTCAATTCAGGATCTTCGTTATGGAGCCAAATGCATATGCACAAGCGTTCCGGACTTGACAACGCTTCTCCCTATGGATTAAAAGAACCCCACCATGATTTGCTCATTTTTCTGTACTGCATTTCCTTAATATGCAGGCTTTTTCGTCTATGGCAAGGGGCGATTTACGCTTTCTACGGATTTCCAAAAGGATTTTTACGGAATTTCCTGATAAAACAGTATGATTTCTACCAAAGATCTACGAGATTTCCATAGAGTGATTAACCCCTTGGTCTGCATAAGGACAAAAAGAAATCTTGTTTAGAGAAAAAGGACTATTCTCGTCATGAAGTAGCCTGCGTCGAGTCTGCACGCAAGCTAGTTATGAAGGGGCTGTTCCAACGATCTATAAAAAAGACTGGATCGAGCTTCCTATTGTCTTGAAATACCAAAGTTTAAAGCCTGTTTAATTTCAAAAGGAAAAGGGCCCCAAACAATAGCGGGAAGCCATTCCTTAAAAGCAATACTTGAACGATATGTATACGTGAGAGCTGCAGTGCTGTGTTTAAGAGTCCTGAGAAAGAACAAGGCCAGAGCAGCTGAAAACATTGCTAGGACTGACACTTAAGGCCGTCTCCTAGCATGGGCTGTTCTCTGGGGCCCTCTTCTCGGATGGCGACAGTCGGGTCACATTAGAAGCTCGATCCAGTCTTTTTTATAGATCAGTGGGCTGTTCTCGTTAGATGATGTTATCGTTCAAATTGAATTTCACAAAGATAAGAGAGAAAACTGACTGACTTCATCAAAGTGTGCCAGACACGTTCCCTTTGTCTTTGTTAACCTTGATCCCTATATGGGATTTAAGTAGAAACTGAAAAGCGCTATGTCCCGACGCATTTCGCTGGCCATTTAAATTTCCCATTGGTTAAACTTCACAATAGACCTATTGTTATGTTACGTATCCAATCGGCAACGTCAGGCTAATTCCCATTGTTTTCTCGATCATAAACGGAATGGCAACCCTATTGTTAACGCTGAACTGTTGACTGATGGGACATAGTGCCTTTATTCGCATTCGCAAATCACACGACGTCGCGTACCATTCAGAGTTTTACGAAAAGGAGCGTTAGAAGGGATGAGTCTCTTTGCCCTATTTAGATAGAGTCGGTGTACTGACAGAGCATCCGCAGTAATGACAATTCATTCTATAGCAATTAGCAATGCCAGCCCCACAGCATGACCAGTCATATCCAAAACCTCAAACCAGCTGCATTTTTGGCAGCTCGACTCTGTTTTGATGTGCGTGTGGAAACTTTTTGCTTTCAAGATTGAATAAACTTTGAGTCATGTTTAATAGGTGAGCTGCTTTGTTTTTATCTAGGTCCTTTTCCTTGAATAATTGTTCTTTTATTTACATGTCAACAATCTACCCTAAAGAAAATGTATCGTGCGATGTTTTCAATCAAACTCTGATTTCTATTCTCGATAAACATGCCCCTCCGAAGAAAAAATTAATGAGAGAAAATAATGCGCTTTTCGTGAATAAAGATATAAGAAAATTGAAAATAAGAAAATGCTAAGATCTATGGCAAAAAGAAAGTTCAACAAAAACAAAACAGTCTCTAATACAACGCAATTGAATTTATGTATAGTTATCTAGATAAAAGAGTACAACGAGGAAAAATAAGCTCAGATTTTTGTGATTTGATGGAAACAAAGCAAGGAGTTCTTCGAGGATCAATTTTAGGCCCGTTGCTTTTCAATATCTACACAAAGAAATTTTTCTGCATTTGAACAAAAGCAATTTATGCAACTATGCAGATGACAATACAATTTGACTGTCAAGTACTGATTGCTTCGTTTATGGACAAATCTAAGCAAATTATTTTAATTAAAACGTTCATATCAGCATATTTTGATTATTGTCCTCTCATTTGGATGTTTTGCTGCAGAAAAATTGATAGCCGGATAACCCGAATTCATGAAGGAGCGATGATAATAGCTCATGATGATTATGAATAAATTTTTAAACAACTTTTATAAGGAATAAAACAATAACTTCTCATAATAAAAATTTACAATATCTTGCGATAAATATTTACATAGCATTTAACGGTTTGAATCCACCTTTTATGGATGAAATATTTCGAAAAGTGAATGCCCATATTATTTAAAAAAACTCCTAATTCAAAACAGCGGAGCCACATTGCAAAATATATGGATTTAATACCGTATCATACAGATGTAGCCAAATATGGAACTCAGCTCCAAACGAGATAAAGTACTCCCCTACTTTACAAATATTTAAAAGAAAAATCTCAGAATGTACATCGTTTAATTCGTACATGTAATCTTTGCAAGGAATACGTTTGCAACATCGGTTATATTTGATTTATATTATATTTAGCGTTGGTAATTTAAATTAGTTGGTTTTGATTAGCTTGAGTATGCATAGCTAGAAATTGTACCAACTTTGAATTAAGAAAGAGAAAAGTGTATCAATCCCTTTTCACTAATTCTCGTTGACTATGCCGTTTTCACTCGTTTTTTAGATGCAAAAGGCCTAAAAGATGTGCAGCAGGTCGAAACGTTTCGGGAAATGTACAGCGCAACGCTGGAAGACTACATGAAGAAAACAAGACCAGACCAGCCTGATAGGTTCACCAAGGTGATACTTCGTGTACCGGCTCTGAAATCAATAGGACTGCAGGCTTTAGAGCATTTATACTTTTTTAAACTCATAGGCGACGTGCCAATGGACACATTTTTGCTTGACATGTTGGAGGTAAATCAATAAGTATTTGTGTTATTGTATCATTAATTTTCTTAGTTGAGTTGCAAGAGAAACCAAAAAGAGCTCAATTCAATTCCAACCCCAATGATTACCAAAAGAGAACCGTTTATTAATTCTTTATGTTTTCTCGAATTCTTTATCATAAAAAAGTTAAGAGAGGAGAACGAAACAGTTAACTGTAGTTTAACAAACGAATCAATTGTCTTTTTCCGAACAAAAAACGATCCAGAGGGAATTTTCCTTTCTCGCATTATCGCATGATACAGCCTTCATCTGAAAACAATATGTTTAAATATATTAACCTATGGCTGAATCTGGTATGATGGCTGTATCTTCATCCGCAAAAAATTGGCGATCACACTGCCGATGACCTTGAGAAAGATCAGTAAATGCAAAAGAACTCAAAGAATCATACCCTCACTATAACTCAACGCCTTAGCGATGTTGGAAATTTTTCGCTGATTTTCTGGTGAAAGGATTAGCACTTTTCTCACTCTGCGAGATTCGATTTTAACCTAGTTTTTAGTTAGATTAATCACAATTGGCTTAGAACACGACTCCTACGGTCAGCTTCGTGAAGCCAAAAGCCCTAGGTACATCAAGTTTCTGGGACTGCCATTCCCCAAATTTCTACCACTCCCCAATTTCTACCACTCCCCAATTTCTACCACTCCCCAATTTCTACCATTCCCCAATGCCTATCATTCTCAGCTCCAATTTAGTGGCCCAGGCACATTCTCAAGTAATGAATGCCAAGTTATGGTAGTAATTATTTGATGAAGAACGTTTTGCATTTTTCATCCTTTGATTTTAGCAGACATGTTTACATTAGGAGTATCATTCCCAGTTATGAAAAGGCCTTATGCAGCCTTCAAAAGTAAAGAAATGATCTGAACATTCGCACCGTATATCTTGTAGGTCAGTATTTTCTTTGTGCTATTTCTACGATTAAACATGCTGAGAAATATAGTTCAATGTTTTTATGTATATTTAAGATAAAAACTTTTAAAAGCTTGTGTTTTGCTGTAGACCGTATATCCACCAAAATGTTTTTTCCTTGTTTCATTTCCTTCCCTTTTCTTGTATCACTGGGAAAGCAGTTGCATTGTAAGTACTTTGAATGATCTAGCTACTCACCAAAACCTCTAGAGATATTATTAAGAGACAATTCAGTGTCGCCAGAAATTTAATCTAAAAAATGATATTTGTGACCTCAGATAGCTCAGTTAAAATTTAATCAATTTTTTCACGTAGACGGTTATACTATAAAATACTTGGAGTGGGGCAACTTTCAGCGAATCGTTCTTTAAATTTGAGTTCTGCCACCACAGCCACCCAACTACGCGAAAACCAAGCAAGATTTTAATCCCATTTGAAAGGTGAAAACTTGGATTAAACATTGTTAAGTAAGGCAGAAAGGTAGGACTCGGATGCCGTATACTTGCTTTTCTAGGGTCATGAATTGCAATGGGACGTTCTCGCCGAGTTGCAGGAAGAAGACAGGGAAGAACACCTAAGCCCGTGCGATACATCAATTCTTAGCCTGTTCCACGCTGCTTCAGGGCAAACATTTTTCGAGTTCCTAATAAGAAGCATCTGCTGTTTGTCGTCATTTTTCAATACGTTTTTGAGCATTACAGCATATAAAGCCCTGGATATTTAAGTTCGAGGATAGTCTGAAGGCATTTTTGTGTGAAATGGCTTTCGATAACGGCTTCTTGTGCTTTATTCGCAGTCTTTTTGCATTTAATACGCATAAGAATCGCTGTTTATAGCTTATGCGCAAAGATTAGTAGATAAATTTTGAATAAGTCTGCTGATGCTTGTATGTTTAGCAGTTTTGTTATTGCAAAAGAACTGTTGATGACGGAAGCCTGTTTGTTCAAGCTCCATCACCGTTTTAAAGGTACGATTTGAGTCCGAAATACATTTTTAACTTTTATAATGCATTTTATATAATACGATTTGAGTTACACAATATCATATCAACTGTGTTTATCGTTGCAACTAGATAGATAATGTCTTTCGTGCACACGAATAATAAAGTAGACTTACGAAGCAATTAAAAGACTCCAATTCCAATTCAACACTGCTTAAAAATCATGGACCTACAATCCCAAATTTAAAGTTTTTCCTTCACTTTGTTTTTATTTACAAGTGCATAAAACATTGACAAATACTGTATAAATTTTCGTTTGATAGAGCTATGAAGACAGTTTTTATGCAGTGCTCTTTATGAACTGATAAAGGTTGAAATTGAAAATAATGCCAAACTCGCCTTTCTTGCACTTAGGAAAATGCTGAGAGCCCATCATGTAATTTTCTGTTTCGAGTAAATGGAAGCAGAAACTTATAGAGTAGCTTATTCCTTTGTTTTTGGAACTTTAGTGCCCTTTCTCCTATCAATTGCATCAAACATGCCTGATTTGCGATAATAAGCGCAACCCATTTCACTGTTCTAGATTTGCATTGTATTAATTGTTTGTGTTTACCTAAATGTATGTAATTTCACTCATGTCCTTGTTCTAGACTGCAATGGCAGCACTATATGCACCTGCTAAGGAAATGGTCTTACCCATAGCTAGCTCTATCTTTTTGAACGTTGATTAGGCAAATTTCAAAATTTGAAGTTGATCGATTTACTCAAGATACCAAATAACATTCTGTCTAATATTGATTGCTTACCCAGTTTCAGATATTCTGGTCCAGAGTACATGCGGATAAAAAATAACAGAAGACAATGACTGCAGTAAACAATGTGAGTGAAATGACAGTCTTCTCACCAGGCAATCCAACCTGGTCATCCAGCGGCCTTTGCAAGCCCAATGTTATCACCTTTTCAGAGAAATTCACTGCATATATAATGGCATACCTTTCGTTCCCCGTATCCGTCATTGCCACTTTCTGCAACACTGTCACCTTGTACACAATAATCAAGTCCCCTAGACTGCAGTCTTCTTCAAATGCTCTGCTTGGCGTCTTGTCTGCAACCGATCTGCTTGTTGGCATTGTGATATTACCCTGCTATATGGTCATTTGCATTCATGACGTCACTGGCCAGTCCGACTGTACACTGCGACTGTTCCATGGCTACTTTTCGCATTTCCTGTGTGGCTTCTCAGTATTTATGGCTGCTGTTATCAGCCTAGACAGATGCATCAAAGTTTCTTTTCCACTGAGATGCAGATCCTGGAACCTAAAAGACGCATACAAAGTCGCAATTTTCTTCGGGATGATAGTTTTGATTGCTATCGTGTTGCTGCATCCGTTCCAGTTGATAGGTATCGGCGTTTTCAACGTGATCGCCTCTTGTTTTATTGCTTGTATTCTTCTCATACCTATTATTAGCTACATCATCATTTTCATAATAGTGAAAAAAGGTAATCGCAGCATTGTCGACAGCCAGACTAGTTTCCGGCGACTTCTGCGACGCAAACGAGAGGCTCGCACCGCAAAGGTCATAGGGATTGTTATCTTGCTCTTGTTCGTCTGCTACTTGCCACGAATGTTTTCGGTTTTGTACAGAGACAGATCAACAAGTGGTGGCTACCAGGTGAACAGATGGTCTGCTTTCTTGGTCTTTTCCAACGCTGCTCTGAATCCAATAATCTACTGGTCACGCATGGACGATTTCAAGCATGTTGTCTCAGCTGTCTTGCCCAACATTATGCGGCTGGCGAGGGGGTATTTTCTGTCCAAAAAGAAATAAATGTTCAGCTCTGCTGGTAAAATCTTGGTGTTGTTTAAATAGTACCACTTTTTTCTTTCAAAAATCACTGGACACTTCTACGCTGTTAAAAAGCATATGTTGGTGCTATTGGCACTTGTCGCTTTTACATAAAGCAGCATTTAAAGACTTGATAGTCTTCACTTTGTTATTCACCGGACCATGCACGATTTAGAATTTGCGATAGAATAATTGGTTAGCGTATTTCTTAAAATCTTTGACTAGCAAGAACAACGAAGTGCTAGTCTTTCAACTTTCTAACGGAGAAGTAACTGCCAACATTACGCTATTGAATGCTGGATTGTATCTCTCTAAAGAAAATATTTCCTTTTACACATTACATTTTCGATGGTGGAAGTACAATTCATAATACCTTTTTTCCATAGCAGAAAGTAGATCATAGAATGATAAAAACATATCGAAAATCAGTTCGTAATGGTGAAAGTTTGGTGTGAATGACTTGGCCTCCATGTTTGTCAAACTTCTTTTAAAAGCTAGCTCCTTAGATACCGGATTTGGTATAAACTTCCTTAAATCTATCGATATCGGCATTGGCAAAATACCAAGCTTGCGGTAGGAAGACATTTAAGGAGGAGTATTGCGAATAGATGTGCTCATCTTAAAGAGTAAACAGGCAGTTGAAGATAATCTTGTCGATGAAAAGAAGTCAAGCGGAAAACGTATTGTCGGAGCTACAAATTGAGCAATGCTCCATTGAATACAAACATAATCATCGTATATTAAATATTCTAAATCTGATTTACTATAAAGTTTTAACTTGCACACGAACTCTGTCATTCTATTGATCGCATTTACTATCTTTAACTTACGTTACCTCTGTCTGTCCATCTCAAAAAAATGCAATACAGCCGTGGAATATATGCAGTACCGTGTGTACAATAAATTCATTTATTAATGAAGACTTTTGTATTTCATAGTAACAAGGCAAAATTATAAACTGCAAATTTTGAGTATTAAAAGAAAGTTACGAACAATGCCACTTAAGACCATCTACACCATGTTAGTTATCTCCTTCAAAGTACTTCAATTTGTCAAGGCTAAGTGTTTAGAGATTCTAAAGTTTGATGTGACGCAACCTATACGTCCACATCTCCAGTAGGAGCTAGAACGAGCCTCATTGAGGTATTTTTATGGAGTATTTGAGCATCTGAAGGCAGTTGTAATAAAGCGATATTATGCCAAAACTACCCTTGAGAAGTATATAAAGGGTCTTTCCAAATTGTGACAAAGATAAGTTTTTTCTTCCATGCAAGGTATTTTTTCATATTTTTGAAGAGAATAGGTAAATGTCAGTACCTCCCGGGTTTTTTCATTCCTGTCTGCAGTATCAATTAAGAAAATAATATTGATTTAAATAAAAGATGTAAAATCTAAATTATGATCAGACCATATGTCTATGAAACTGCAACATGCATACATTTACAGGCATGACATTCATAGCTCCATTCCTTTAAAATATCTAATAGTATGTTCTTTTGAAGCATCCTAAATGCATATTCCTGCATATTCCTACCTATAATACAGTGTACATTAACGTCATAGTTCAACAGTCTTTTGATCAACAGGACATAAATCTGATACTGTTCCTAACCAGGCATCAATACAGTTACCATGGAAACAGTGTCCGCAGCCGGGTAGCCTCTTAACCAATCGACCAAAAGGTTCTAAACATATGCAGCAAACGTCTCCTAATTCCTTCGCAGTATCAGCAAGGGTCGTTTCTTTGATGCCACGCAGCTTGGCTTCCGATACAGTCTTTGCTGGTACTGATTCATCCAGGCTCAAAAGGAATTCGTAATCATTAGGTGTTAATTCTCGGTACTGCAACGCAATAAAGAGATCAGTCAAATGTTTGTCGTTCAAAATTGAGTTGGTTTTATTTATAACGTGCTCGTGCTCAAAAGCTTTTATTATCTGATTATTTTCTTTCAAATAGTTTGCTCCTCTTTTTAATTTTTTCTTTAGTAAATTTTTCTCTTTATTGTGTTTTCTGTTCTCTGCATTTTGTTTCTTGGCTTCTTCTTTTCGCAACTCCTTAGCAACAGAAATCTTCGAACAACGAGTGTTGCACCGTAGCATTAGTTTAATACCATTAACCACAACTGGCTTCTTTCTATTTCGTTGTCTCTCTTCGAAACCTTTACGTCTGATTTTATGAGTTGAACCATCTAAAACTGGACTGACAATGTCATCATATTTCGTTCCATTATCGAGCAATTCAATATCCCATTCTTCGCATTCTGTCTCCAGGTTTTCATCTCCTTTGGAATGGTAGACATCACACATCTCCCTTTCACTTCTACAAGGGTAAAGTGAAGTCAGAATTGTGTCAACCAAACGTTTATGCTTCGAAGAGGTTTTCAACTTCCTTTTAGAAACTTTTTCCATTTTAACTGATGCAGTTGCAGTATATGTTTCGTTCCTATCGATGCAGTGTATGGTTCTTTCAAACTTATCAGCAGAAACGCTTTGACAACTCTTGTCTATTTATCGGGAAAAATTTCCTCTCTGTGGTGCAATTTTATTTATTTGTCAATGACGTAATGCTTTGTTGGCAAGTTGCATCATTCCTGTTCTCAGAATGTTTTGTAAACGAGGCTGATTGTGTTAACGAGACTTTGCAGTTATGGCCGAAGATTTTGAGAGTTTGGCAAATTACAAAATTGGTAAGTTATTTATCTTATTATTGCAATTTGATTACTCGAACGTTTCTTTTTAAGAGCGTTTAAGTTTTCAAAGAAAATTTAATGGTATGGCATATACATAGTGTGACCTTTTCAAAACGCTGTTTTGTTGAATAATAGGCTCCACACCCCCTCAGGACAAACACATTATCCTGACCCTATGAACTTATTTAAATGTGTTGCAAATTCGCTTTAGTGGGTTACTATTTCGCCACCATAAGAAATTTTGAGGTAATGTTTTTAGAATATTGGTAATCAGCAATGATTTACTGGATGGCCTATCGGACAGAGGAGAGTACTCTCTTAAGACTGAACCTTGATGACAGATGATTCGCTAGTTTAATCAACAAACTCCCTGAGACTGGCATGTGCGACACAAGAGTGCTCCCTGACCCATTTAGTTTAAAGCTGAAAGTGTTGACCTATTTTGTTCAAGGTTATTCAAATGAGATCAATTGTGTTTAGTGCTTGTTTGAACAAGGGTTAATGTACTAGTGAAAATGCCTAATTGTTCTAGACAACTTAAAGTATTGACAGCATTTGTTGATTCATTTCTATTACTATATCTTTCTGGAATTTTCTTTTGTGGTTTATGCTGAAACACCCCTCATCAGTGTCCCAGAGGTTTTGGTTCAGTTATGTTCACTTTTGGTTCAGACTTCAACAAAGTATGAAAATTTGATCAAATGCAAACAAATGATCAAATGAAATATAATACACGGTATAAGTAAGATGATTTTGATATATGATATTATTTAAAGATATAATCTACAAGGTGATTATATATTATTGTAACTTGTTTCCTGATCACCTTTGTGTTATTTCTCTCCTCTTGGTTTTCTTTCTTCCCTCTTATTGCCTAACCATACATGTATGAATGGCCACCCAAACAGACAGATACTTTAATTTGAACTCAACTTCAGAAGTAATCAGCAGAACAGGTGTGAATCCTGGTGCAAACAGTCAACATCCTCTTTTTCATGAGGTGGAAACATTCCCTAATTGAAGCCCCCTAATTGAAGTTATTTATATGAGAAATGTTGTTTTAAGATTCAGTTACTTTCCAAAAGGATAACTTTTAGCAGCTAAGTCCTTGGAAGAATGACCTTAAGATAAGCTAGCTCAGAAATTGAACATGTGATTCAAAAGAATTATTCTTTTGAATCACATGTTCAATTTCTGTTTTTCTCTTGCTGCATAACTCCATATTATTCATTTGGTGAACTTGAACTTCTTTCAATATTTGTAATACTTAGTGTTAAGGTACCTACTTTTCCATTACTTTTGTTGTACTTTCGTTTCACCTATGTGTGGCCTCTACTTTTACAATTATGGCTAAGAATTCAATTGTTGAAAATAACACATACTAGACACAAAATAATAACACAAGATAACAAAACCATGTCTAGCTTTCAATTACCAGGGCTAGCAATGGGATCAGATCACTAAGTTTCCAAGGAGGTCAAACAACAAGTCACCTTTCCCCTGAAATAAAAACTGCCCAAAAATTGAAGAAAAATTATCAAGACATGATTCTTGCAAAGAAGTGTGTTTGCTCATTCAGCAGAAATCAACACTCTTATGCAATCTCTAGTGTTGTTTAGTATTAGAGTTAATTAGTGTGATCATGTTTTTCAGAATTATCAGTTAACAAATTATTGCCTTTTGTACTATTGTTTTGTACTTTTGGACAACTGTATTAAATGAGAAAATTTTATTGAGGTACAAAGCAGTGAAACAGCAAGTGTTTGTACACACTTTTTTCATTAAACTGTGAATCTGAATCCTCCAAATCAACAAGCTCCTCTTCAACATGCATTTGTCTCCCTGGTTTCTGGCTTTGGTTCAATCTTTTTCTTTGTTCTTTGGTACTGTCCAAACAGAAACACAGAAACATAGCTATTCATTAAAGCTACCTTTAATTCTTGTTTCCTCTTAGAAACATATTTTTTGGTTGTTTAATAATCATTTTATTTTGGGAGCAGATCAGTTTTTATATGAAATGCATGAAAAAATGCCACAAGCTTCTACAGCCAGTATGCTATGACAATCTGGGCTGATCAAGGGTTTCTGATGTTATATATTTTTATATAACATTTTTGATAGATTTTCCAAAAATGCTAAAAGCGTGGAAAAAACTGTTGAAACAGCCTGTCTACAAGACAGAAAGAACAAATTAATGGCTACCCTCTCCTTAAATGCACACTTTCAATTCTCCAGTGATTTCCTTGATGGGGCCCCTAGATGGTTTAAGGAAAATATAAGTGTTTTCATCAAGTTGAATCATTCATAAATTTTTATTCTTCTTTTTGTGATTCATTACAGTATTCAAATAACAGTTTAGCAGAAAATCACGCAAGAAAGTAGAGACCTCCTCATCTTCTAAACTTGAATCTGCTGTTAGATCACATAGAAAATATTAACTGATGTCTAAGTCAATCTCAATATCACCCAAGAGAAGTTTAAGGTCACTTTCATTTATAATCTACCCTTAAAAAAATTTTGCCATTCAAACATTCATTTTTTATACCCAGCTTCAAGCCTTTCAAGGCCAGTCTCCGAAAGGTGACACATTTTCTTTGCACTTTTTCTTGTTGTCTTAGAACAAATGTGCATATTTCTTTTTAGCAAATTATGATGTGTTACCAGAGGAACTTGACTTTGATATTCTTGAGTTTGGAGTTGATGGGGATCTAGAGGTGGTTGCAAAGAGAAGAGATGGACTAAACCCACCGTGCACTGTGAGGAAACCTTTTTTTGAATTTGTTGATATTATTTCATGTCAGGTGTGATCATCCTCCTTGTTTTGACAGGATTTGGTTAGAGCAAAGAAGTCCTCTAACAATATTAAGTCATCATGTATTGAACCATACTCTGCCAGCATGTTTGCAGTAGTGAAATGTTATAGGTAGCATAAAACCATATCTTGTTCATGTTTACTGGTTTCTTGCAAAGTCTTCATGAATTACATTTGTTTGTGCTGCTTTTCAATTCTCCCTCTTGTCAATTATCTAAGAAGGCTGGATAGCTTAGCTGACAACTGGTTATCACTTTTCAATTCTTTTTTGTTATTCGTGTAAAAGTTTAAGACAGTGAAAATATCCACAACAATAACACAGGGAGCATAGAAGTTTACAACAAACCTTTATCAACTTGTCCTGAAAAAATATAACACCATGAAATCTGAGGATGGGAGAATTTTGAGAATTCTTTGCTGTTGTGATTGTTAATGATACAGTTTATTTCTTAAGATAAAACTAAACTCAAAAAGTCAATTTTACAGCTGCCTGCTAGTTTGCCTGAGCTTTTCCCAGATACAAAAGATGAACTGGAAGATTTTCTGCTTCATCCAGAAAAACTGCAAATACATGATTACCAAAAATCTCAGAGGTAGGTTGTTTTTTAACTTGTTTCTAATATTTGAACAAATGTGTCTAGATAATTTCCAAAATGTGTCTAAATAATTAATTGTAAGACACATCTTCTGAAATTTTTTTATGATGTGATTTCAAGAATTGGTTGGGTATAATTGAAAAATAAAAAAAATAACCCACTTTTACTGCAGGTTCTGGGAGAGAGAAAGAGACCCAGAGACATTATTCAGACATGAAGCAACACAAAATAGTTACTCTCTGGAGATGGAGAGAGACGTAAAAACAGGAGCTTGCAAAGGATACAAAGAGGTTTTAATTTTCATATGTTCCCAGGGGTGTCAGGGCAGATAGGAAGAGCAGAGGTCAATATATGTTATCTTCAAGACAAAGGGTGATAAAAGATAATTGTCTAGACCCAAATATTGAGTATTGGAAGAACATCAATTGAAATAGGGGACTTTTTCTTTTTGTTCTGTAGAGGTCAAATTGACATCAAATTTAAACTCCATTAAAATTGAAGTCTTTGCATCCTATTTACTTTATTTGAATCAGTAGACAACAAAGTTTTTTATTGCAATACTTAAATGGATTTCTTGTCTTCTTGTGGTACAAAATTTAAGAATGGCTCTGAAAAAGCAAACGTTTTGAAACATTTCCTTTAATATAGCAAACCAGAGACCCTGTTGTTGTTTGTTATTTTGACAACTTGGTCAAGACTCATTTATCTGTGAAAGTATTTTTTGATGTTAGATTCATTCCTATGTTGTTTTTATTTTGATTGCCTAGATAATGTAAGTAGCTCTTGTTTCTTTATTGATAGTTGCCTTTATAGGGCTTTTCAATTATCAATTGTTTTCCTAGATTTCTCTATTAGATGTTGGACTTACAGCCAGAAATTCAATGTCATTCCATCGACAGCCAGGGGCTCTATCAGGGTCAGTCAAAGGCGAGCCATCAAATTACCCATTTATGCCAGGTAAAGTTTGTAGCTGTATAGTTTGCAGCTGTAGCTCTTGTGGTGGGTCAAAAAGCATAGCGGGTAAACCTTGATTGGTTGTCAGTTCTTGATTCTAGCAACGTGATTGGTAGATTTCCTGGAGGATTCCCAAGAAGGGGATCTTGCCAACAACCAATCAAGAATTGTTCGCTTTACGGGATGAAAATGAAATATGATATAATACAATACAACCCTGTTTATAAGAACCAGTCAATTTAAGTTGCAGGCTGACTGTTCTTAATTTTTTCGAAAATCTGAGGCAGGATTGTTCTTAATTTGTTCTTAAATTGATAGAGTGTAAGCAGTACGACTGTTAGCTTTTCATTTGCCAACTAAGTAAATGAGACAGCCTTCATTTGCCGACAAGTTTGACAATTCACCTACAAAGCACCCAGACATGGCTAAAAATCCTCGTTTTGAAATAAAAGGTTGTTCAAAATTGCATTTTACAGTAGCTCAGCCTCGCCTTGTTCTTAGTTTGTTCTTAACTTTAGACCAATTTGAGCCTCGTGTTCTTACAAAATCGTTCTTACAAAAAAGAGTGTACATTGTTTCAAAAATTAAAATTGAGTCCTAATTCTTGTCATGTAATGATTGAGTTGTTCCAATTGTTCAGACACACCCAAGATCCATTACACGTTCTCTGGCGTCTACTTTCGTTCTTTTTAGACTCCTTTTTGTTAAGATATGATTTTTTCTTTCTTTGTTGCGATTCACAGGTGGCTTTACTTTTGAAACAATGGCCAGAAATATGCCTGACATTAAAGAAGATGAGATTGGCCTAGAAGGAGGTAAACACCTGTGGTGAAACTAACCTATTTTCTCTACCTCATGACAACACCAGACCCTTCAGAAAAGTTAAATTTCTTGAAATGACAATTTTACTACCACTAGGCCTTTGTTTGCAATCATAATTTGATAATGTATTTATATATGCGCTCATATTTTGAAGAAGGAAAAACCTACAGTAGATTCCCCTTCCCTTGGGCAGTTAATGAGTTGGCAATTTAGTTGTGAATTTAGGCTTTTTTGGATATCACAGCTATCTGCTAGGTGATTTCTATGATTCCGATATTCAAGATTAGATTTTTTAGATATAACATTCAAACAGGAAATAACCACCATTTTCATTTGCTATAACTTGGTTTTTTCTATCTTTAACTATCTTCATCTTTCTGTTGTAGATCTCCTTGATTTACCCCCAGGTTTCGTAGAGCCAATCAAGTTTGATTTTACGCAAAAAGCAGGTTCGTCTACTTTGTGTCTGATTATATTTTGACCAGATTTCGATTTTTTACATCCTTATCATGCATTTTTCTGAGCCTCAAGACATAAACAACATAAAGTTTTTGTTAGATTTATAGGTCATACGCAAATGAAATGTAAAACTAGGCATGTTTCCAATTTGATTCTAATTGAAATCTGTTTATTAAATATGCTGTGATCTATATTCTGTCAAATTTTTTAATTTCATATGATAGAGTTTGAGTTTGGAAACCGGATTGCAACAAACATTGCTACGTGACTGCTTTCTATTTGTCTGCAGAAGACAATTGGAAATTATCGGAAATTCGGCTATTATTTTTCTTAATCATATGACATATTTTCTCCAGTTTTTTCACTGACTTGCTTAATAAATTGCTTTTTATTGCACGACTGAACAAATCAATTTGATTTCTTTGTCCAAAGCTCTTAAATCAGACAGGATATTTTAGATAATTATGGGCCAAATGTAGCAGAAACATTTCAATCATAGTCTATTTTACCGTTACTTATAATGTGACAAACTGATTGACGTCATATTCGGGGTATGGAATTTCAATGCAGACAGGGGTCGAAATAAACTTTTAACGCATTCGATTGAGTATTGTTGAATAATTGATAATCTAGTAGGTCTGGTGTGCCTAACCAAGTCCAAGTGAAAAGGCAGCAAGTATAGAGCTGGGTCACATGTTTGTCATATGCAGATTTACAAAACTTCAACGCGAGGTTCTGCCTATGTATACGATACGAAGTGTACTACAGGTCGGCAATAGGCAAATATCTGCTACCTTTAAGCTGTATTGCAGCAAAACTGCTGGCTTATGAGCAAAACTGCTGGCAGAACGGAAGTATTGTTTATAACATGCATCGATATTCTAGCCTATTGAACCACAGATGGACAGCAAACATGCGTAGTTTAGAATGGATGGTTCAGTGTTACTTTATGAAGTCCATTTTAGCATACTCTATTGGGTATATTTTCTATAAATTTTTATTCCATACTTTTTTAGATTCACCTTCATCCGAAGATACTAGCTTGGCAACTAATGTCTTCAATATCAATGACATTTTCTCCGGTGAACTAGTCCTTGGAGACTTAGATGTAAACGAGGCTGATAGTAGTGATCAAAAGGAAGAGAGCAATCAGCAAGAATTAGGACAAACTGTAGGAGAGCAAAAACTGGATGATACTGCAAACTTGGATGAAGACGTATTGCAGGTCGTATCGACGTATCTTTTGTTGAGATTTCTACGTAGTTTGAATTACAACTTAACTATTTAATTTCTTGCTGCATAGCAGTGGTGTAATGGAGATAATCATGACAAACATGAAAGCAGATTTAAAAACGATAGTTCTTCTCATTTACTAGGGTGAAGCTAAGTTATTTCCTATAGTAAATGAATTTTTGAAATTGATTTGAACACGAATGAAGTCTTGAAAACATGGATGTAGAATGTTAGGGCGCCTTTTGGTCGGAGACCCTTAGTTATCGAATTAAAGTAGCTTAAACTGCGTTACACCACTGAACCAAAGAAATGAGTTTATTTGTTGCCAGAAAGTATTAATAGATGATAAAAGAATTGTTTTTCGAAAAAAGCCTATTTATTGAAAGTCTGAATTTTGACCATCACCCTACAGTGGGTGCTGTCTAATGCTAAGCATGATTAAACGAGGGGGTAGTTATGAATCGTGACAGCATTTAACTTTTATGGTGGATTATTTGTGATACTTCAATCATTGCTGAAGCCCATCCAGCATAAGCCAAAGATGAGTTAATGAGAAACAATAATAAAATAATAATAATGATCATATGATAATTATACATATGGCTTTGAAGAAAGCAAACATTTAACAACAAACTAAAAGCTTTTTCGTCTGACACTTCTTAGAGTATAAAACTTTAGAATTAGGGTCCGAAAGAACACGATGGAAAATATGTACTCAGTCGTAGATCGAAAAAGGCCAATCAGAAAAACGCTAGCACAAGACCGGTATAGTTGACCAATCAGTGCTGCGAGCCTAAAGAAAAATTACCAATGGATTCCAACTATTATTATTATCCAAAAAGAAAAATTACCAGTTTTTAATAATCGAACAACTCGACACTGCCAAGGTTGTGCAAAACTCTATAATGACGGTATGTTTCAGATAATTGGAATCGATATACATACAAACGAAAAAGCCGCCCTTGTGTAGACAGAAGCAGTTATTTTTCTCTTTTGGACTCGAATGGTAATTTCTCTATAGGCACGCAGCACTGATTGAACAACTATGCCGGTAATGTGCTTGTTTTTTTAATTGGCCTTTTTCGATCCACAACTGGGTCTATATTTTCTATGGTGTTTTTTCGGGGGTCTTATTCTGACGATTTTTGCTCTGAGGAATGTCAGACGAAAAAGCTATAAGTATGTTGAGAAATGTTTGCTTTTTTGAAAGCCATTTTCAAGTTCTGTACCGCAAAAAAAATTAAAAATTATATAAATTTATACAGGATAGGTTTTTCAGTACAATGAAGTACTGCTATCGATAAGGGTCCTGTATGAAAGGAACTGCTAACAAAGTAAAAAGATGTAGAGGTTAAGATGCTACATGATTATCATAAACAACTTAGGTTATATATTTTTTGCTTAAAGTTAAAAATAGGATAATATTCCTGAGCTCGCTATCTTTTATTCGAAATGTAGACTGTATAGTGGAATTTAATTGCATTTTTCTCATCTGAAAATGGTTACTGAGGATTTCAAGAGCTGCTAAAAGTAATGCATTCTGCTACTGCAGATTTATAAGCTGGTTTATTTAAAATTTTTTTATATCTTTAATATCTTTTTGAATAGGTTTCAGAGATCGTCAAAAAGCCTCCAGAATCAGAGAAAAATAAGGAAGAATGGGCTATGATTGAGAATACAGAACACAGTGTGGACGATTTTCACAGGCTTGTCCCAGATATGGCCCATAAAGTACTAAATTGTTCAATTTCCTTTTGAATTCATTTTGCATAATGAAAGTCTTTTATCATTTTTATTCTACACAAGATGTTTCCTAAATGATTAGAGACCACATTTTAGTTTACAGCTAAGGTAAACATGAGTTAGTTGGGTGAATAGGGTGATATTTATATTTTGCTTTTCAAGCTATATCTACATATGTAGATTTTCTAGAAAAACTATTGCAACTAGAGTTATTCGGCTTTTTTCTTTATTAAAATAAACAAGACTAGAAAGAAAATTAGAGGTGAATTTTTTCTCAGGTTGTCGAATGTGATTGCAGAATAGCATTTGTTTTTCTAGTTTCCCTTCGAACTGGATAATTTCCAGAAGCAGGCAGTACTTCACTTAGAACATCACGAATGTGTCTTTGTTGCTGCACATACGTCAGCAGGAAAGACAGTAGTTGCAGAGTATGCCATTGCATTGGCACAAAGACACATGACCAAGTAAGCATTGTATATGAAGGGATTTAATCCTGATGTTTTGCTTATCTGCTGATATTACATAGTTGTTTTTTCTCTGTATATTTCTGATGTAGGTCAAAGTGTGTCTTAACTTAAGGTTTTTAAATATCTCCACAATTAAGAATCGCATTGCTATAAAAATTCAGAAACGAGATCCAGAAAGTTCTCTCAAAAGCAAGGTTCGTATGTCTTCAACATGTATTTTTCATTGATAGTCAGTCTTTTTCAAATCGATTCAAATCGAGCTTCCTTTTCTTTTTCTCTCCAATTGAATAACTCTAGATTTGAATAAGACTTTTCTTCATAATAAAAGTTTACTGTGTAAAGTTGTCAATATATGGAGACTTAGATCTACATTTTGTGCCTCAAAATCGGAGTAAGCATGAAACTTGGATTTGTAGCTTAAAACTGCCTTGTTCTAACCATCAAACTATTTTAAGCAAACTTGTGTTGAGTTAGTGATAATGGGGAAAAGGATCATTAAAATCAAGTAGAACCATTCTCTCCGTCTTGCCACCTCAAATCTCGTCTTTTTCTTTCTGTATCCAAAAACCTATAAACAAAACGGTTTGAGACTTTTTCTCTATTTTTTGGAATAGAGTCCTTAATTCTAAGTTGCCTTATGTACTCAGATTTTTTTCTTTCTTTATTCAAAATTGGTATAATTTCTAGCTATGCATACTCAATCTAATTGAAGCCAACTAATTTAAATTACCAACGCTGAATATAATGTAAATCAAATGTAACCGATTTTGCTAACGTATTCCTTGCAAAGATTACAAGTACAATTAAACGATGTAAATTCTGAGATTTTTTTCTTGAATATTTGTAAAGTAGGGGAGTACTTTATCTCGTTTGAAACTGAGTTCTATATTTGGCTACATCTGTATGATACGGTATAAAATCCATATACTTTGTAATGTGACTCCGCTGTTTTGAATTGGGAGTTCCTTTAGTAATATGGGCATTTATTTATGGAAAATATTTCATCCATAAAAGGCCAATATGGATTTTACATTGCTTCCCTTACAAGATGATATTAGATGTGGGCTTCTTGCCCTTGACACAGCCTACCTTGGGGGTTTAAAACTTCTTTACAAAAACACTCTGCACCAGAGTAACCATGGCGTTTCTTAACTCATCGTTTTGGTTCCTACAGAGGTTCTTATGTTGCAATGATTCTTTATAAAATTTCTTGCAAAGGGCGCCCTTTGCCAAAAACAATGGCTACACTTGTAGGCTACACCAGTCGTGGTTTGCCCATAATTTTTTGCAGACACAATCTGACAATTAATTCAAATATATTTTTCGTAAATTTTAGACCTTTGCTTGAGCGTTTCCTTGTAAATTTTTTAGTTTCTAGGGATGCAAAATTGGAATAGTATGTAGACGTATCAAAATCTGTTAGATTATGTTTTTATCTTTTTTAGAGCAATATATACATCTCCAATTAAAGCATTATCGAATCAAAAGTTTAGAGACTTCAAGAACACTTTCTCAGATGTTGGTATTTTGACGGGCGATGTGCAAATACGACCCGATGCTTCCTGCCTCGTTATGACCACTGAAATTCTCAGGTATGAGGCTACCTGTCTAGCTAATTTTGCTGGTTAGTCAGAACAAGTAGCCTGTATTTTCTCACCAAATTATAAAGTATTTCACTAAGACAATATTTGAATATGCCTATGAGTGCTCTGCTTCTGAAATAACTGCCTTATGACGCTATGCTGGAAAGCCTTTAAAAGTTTTTTGAAAGATTCGTTTGAAAGTTTTATAACGTTTTGCTTTCTGTTTTGACAATTTTTGCTTAGAAGCTTCTCACTTCATCAAAACATACCTGTTGCGTTTTTATTCAAACTTTATGAATCCTAGAACTCTTCCCTTGAAAAGATTTTTTGTATGCTAATATTTTAGATCCATGTTATATAACGGATCTGACGTGATAAGAGATATAGAGTGGGTGATATTTGATGAAGTTCATTACATAAACGATGCATCGGTAAGTAGAGTGTGTCCACAGTATATAGAAAGTCTCGTTCAAAAGCCTGATTTCTGTCAGCTGATATTAGAAATTCTTAGATTGCTTAAATATCGACTTGTTGCAAGTCTGAGATCCGCTAAAAAATTTTTAACTGATATTATACCACGGCCGAATAAGGCTGTGATACGGAATAAATTTACAATGACACGAACTAGTTATGCTTGAATTTTTATCCAGCCCTGGTGGGTGATGGATTTTCACTTACCTTGTGGTCAGTATCTGACATTGTATGCTCTGAGGAGTGTCAGACGAAAGAGTACTCTCAAAATGCTGTGATATGTTTCTACTTGTCCATTCTATTTTTAAATTTTATTACAGCACCCTAATTTAAAATTATTTGTCAGATAAAGAATTGCTTGTGATATCATGTTGTTGCAGAATAAACTTATCCAATAGCCCCAGCTCTAAATGAATGCAATTCTGATCTTAAGCGAATGGTCGTAATATCAAGCAATTAATTTTTTATTCAAGTGTCTTATAAAACTTTTAATCTTCAAAATCTCCATGAGGTACCTCGTACAAGTTCTCTGCACACTCAATACGTCACGTCCATTTTTTTCACTAGAATAGGAAAGGCAATGTCCTACCTTTTTTGAAGTGTTTTAACACTTAGATTGCAGTCTCTTACCAATAGTTAACGTTTTTTTATGAGTAAGTATTTTTACGTATTTTCATAGCGTGGTGTTGTATGGGAAGAAGTGCTGATTATGCTTCCTGATCACGTTGGCATCGTGTTGTTGTCTGCAACTGTGCCGAATACGTATGAATTCGCTGATTGGATAGGGTATGTACATTTCGAGCTTGTTTTTCCAAGAAATATTTATACCCCTTCAGATTTCCAAGAAATTAATCAGCATGAAAGCCTCTTGTGATTTCAAAACCAATTGCTGCCATTTGCTTTGGAAGTCAATTAACCAGCCCTTTATTGATAATGATTTTCTTTCAAGTGACACTGTTTTTCTATTGCTTTTTAAGGAGGACCAAGCGAAAGAAAATCTACGTCATAAGTACTTACAAAAGGCCAGTGCCTTTGGAACATCACCTTTTCACTGGCAACAGCACGAAGACAACGAATGAGCTATTTTTGCTGGTTGATTCACATGGAAAATTTGAGAAGCGAGGCTATCAAGCCGCAGGAGATGCTCTAAAAAGCCGCGCAAAGAAAGGCAAGGAGGCCTATGGGCCTAAGGGTGGCAAAATGGGGAATCCGAAACAGGTGAAATGCTATTTTCTTCGCAAACAGCGTCGTTAGATCTTTGACAAAGGGGATTTTTCACTTTACAACTAATCCTTTAAATGATTTTTAACTGCGTGTTTTAAAAAGTACTTTTTACTTTTATTTTTTCTTATTAGTATATCCTTTAAAACTGAAATCTAAAAAAGGGCAATCGAGGGGGAGCTATTCCAGAAACGTAACGTAGTTTAGATAGTGCATTAGAAGCTCCCAAATTCTCTTTCTTGAATCCCTTGTTGAATTTATTATCACCGTTTAAGAGAAAAGAGATATTTTTGGAACTTATATGAAGCAAAGTATATCTGCCATTTATGTAACAGATTTAATTGACCTTTAATGACGTAATGGTAGTCCCAGTGTTTACCTGATGAATTTAACGTACATGATTTTAATACATTCTTCTACAATGATGTATGGTAAGTGGACAAGAATGAAACTTGCCTGGCACCTATTATGTCATTTCGTGTGATTTCAGAGTTCTAGCTGCCACGAAATTTCAGCAAAGAGTTTGCAACCTAGGAATATCTCTGTCTTTAAATATTATCTCTTAAATATTTCGAAGATTTTTGTACGTTTTGTTTTCTTCTTTACATTTATTAGGACCGCAGTGTGTGGCAAGCTGTCCTCGACATGTTAAAGAAGAAAAGCCAGCTTCCGGTTGTCGCTTTCACATTTTCCAGGAAACAATGTGACAATAACGCCAACCAGCTGACTTCGGTTGACCTCACTACGAACGTCGAAAAAGCAACATTCACGTTTTCGTCAAGAAATGTATCAGCAGATTGAAGGGCTCAGATAAGCAATTACCACAGGTACCTGAAGCAATTTAACAAACACTGATCAAGGAAGGGGTTTTCTGATCTTTGTTGAAAGTAAAGGAAAAGAAATTTAAAAGATTCTAGCTAGTTTCAATTTTGCTATAAGTAGACATTGATACGAGGATGTACGATTGACAAAGAGTGTCCTGTGGCTGCAATATCTTACCCGAGTTTCCCTGACATGTATTATCTTTGTTTTTCCAGATTGGTTTTTGCTTGTGGTGGTTCGAACTATGACGACTGCCCCCCCCCCTTGAGTGTCAAAAGCCAGGAAACAGAAATATCATTGGATATTGAATACCTAAAACAATACATTCGAATGGTCATGTTTGCTGTGTTTTTATATATAATTACCATAAGTTACTTTTTTACAAAACTTTAAAGATCGTCAGGCTTTTTTGTAGCCATTTGTGCATCACCGTTAATATAGGTGGTTCCTGATACGAGGAACTGATGAGCTTCCTTGTCTAATGAACTGAACATCTCATCATTTCAGTCTGTTCAGCGAGGGGTCTCTGTTTAACGAAACCTCTGTTTAACGATCTCACCTTCTAAAATTTTTTATTTCATTTCAAGTTTTTAATATCTAGATTCTATTGCGTTTTCATGAGTTTACTGCTTTGAGTTTCTTCTTTCTCATAATAATTGTCTTCTCTCTCTTTTAAATCGTGAACTATCGTGTTTTCCATTGCACGGAAAAACATGTTCCTGCAGGTTTAAACTTTGGGATATGAACACGTTTTACGACATGCTCGTAGTTGTTTTCATTTCTTCCATGCCTAATTTTATATAACGGTTGGATCATTGACAATAAATGATTGTGCAAACATTTGTTCCTTCAGGTACTTTGGATGGGGAGTCTTTTGAATCGAGGGATTGGTGTGCACCACAGTGGAATATTACCGATTCTAAAAGAAATGGTTGAGATGCTTTTTCAAAAAGGTCTTGTCAAGGTAGTGTTTTATTTTGTGGTTTTGATAGCAGAGCAGCTGAGCTGCAATCGGCCCTAGCAGGATGCTTTTCCTTTGATGATTTAATTCAAGTAGCGGTTTAATATGAACAATACTGCCTATCAGTGCATATGTATTTATATATGAGAAGTAAATATCATTTAATAGACTTGATAACATAGAAAACAAATAGGATTTCGACTTATTATTGCATTATTTTTTTATCACTTCAAATGTCATTGAGCCTTACTTTTGTATTTTTCTATTAAACTTTTTCTCAACAAACATTCTGTTATGATTACTTAATTTCACTGATACATTTGCAATAGACGGCAACATTTTGGGAAAACTTTTATTTTTTAGTCAATAGAGGAATATTTCATTCAATATTTTATTTTCAATACAGAATCTTCTCAATGATTTTTTATAGTTGCTTTTTGCCACGGAGACATTTGCCATGGGTGTGAACATGCCTGCAAGGACGGTTATCTTCGATTCAATTCGAAAACATGATGGACAGGGCTTTAGAGATTTGCTGCCAAGCGAATATACCCAAATGGCTGGACGCGCTGGAAGAAGGGGCCTGGACTCTACTGGCTTAGTTATAATATTGTGTAAAAACGATGTACCGGAAATGGCTGATTTACATAAGATGATGATGGTAGGTACAATCTTAGGAAGTAGACAATTTTACACCAATCAATTTTTCTTTTGAATGATTTGATTTGATGACAAAAATTTAAAACTCTTTTGCTATTGATATGTGTATAGGAACTGATACTGATTCATTGAATTTTGAGCTAGCTAAAGTGATTATAATATTTTCAGGGAAAAGCCACCCTTCTTCAGTCACGTTTCCGACTAACGTACTCTATGATACTGAACCTTCTTCAAGTCGAGCAACTCACCATGGAGGACATGATGAAACGAAGCTTTGCAGAATTTTCCCACCAGAAAGAGACACCTGAGTTCACTAAAAGGAGAGAGGCTCTAGAACAGCAGATCAATAATCACATTGAACTCGAATGCCCAATTTGTGCCACGGATTTGAAGCAGTACTACTTCGATTGGAAAGAATTTCATAAAATGAAGAGGCAGTTACAGGTACTACGACTGACTTGGGTCTTTTACTTGAAACTTTTTGTATGTAATGATAGCCTCCTACCAGCTTGTTGAAATTCTTTTACTTTGATCAATTTAACAACATTTAGATACTTGATACGGTAGAGTTCTGTTTTTCAGAGTTTTATTTTGACATCACAAGCGGGAATGCGTGCATTGACCCCAGGACGCGTTTTAGTTATCGCAAACAATCGCTTTCATAACTCACTGGCAGTTTTGTTACAACAAGGTAATTTAAAGCAGCGCCTGGAGATCTCAAAAGATCCTCTTGACAAACTGTTTACTGTTCTTGTGTTGACTTCAATGGAAAATGAAAAAACAGATACTCAGGACGATCTCAGGCCTACCGCTGCAGATGCAGTGAAGAACCCTGTGATATCGAGACAGCTTTCGATACCAGTTGGTGCTGCCTGTCAAATTGTTGAAGAAGTCCGTGGAAGTGATATAGCGTATATCACCACAAAACAAATTAAAACCGACCCAACACGAATTATGGAAGACCACAAAAAAAGACAGATACCAAGATTCAGGTAGGCCTGGCCTCTGACACAATTTTGCGGAATCCTCTCTTTAAGCGTTTTTGTATTCATTTGTTTGCTTTATGTATTTTATTGGCTGGTACATCAGCGTTGATTCTGCCTCTGTGTATCCAAACTTGATCGCGACTATTGTAAAATGAAATATATTCTTTGCAATCTTTATGATCAACTGTTAAAAGAGATGTTATGAGCACGAGCTGCATTAGCTTGTTTGTATTTCTTAGGGATGATCCTCCATCTGAAACGACAGTAACTGCTGGTCAAGAGCTTCTGCGGATGACCGATTCAAATCCTGGAGGAATTACCTTTATGGATGCCATAAAAGATTTTAACATGAAGTATTTGGACGTTGTTGAAAAAGTGAAGCGAATTAAGCAAATAGAGGAGATCATTAATTCTTGTCAATGCATTCAATGTCCTCAGTTTTTAGAACATGTAAGTATATTATCAAAATATTGCAAGATTTTGAATTAAGTGCATTTCCTTATTGTATCAATGTGGAAAGTGGAGAGGTGGAAATTGAATTATTGTGTTAGGAAACAATACTTTGCATACATTTTTGAAACGCTCCACAATTTCTGTTATTGAGGAGCATAATTGTACAAAACTGAAAGTGTTGGTAGTTCCATTAGAATTTTTTCTTAAAAAGAATTGCAATCGTTTCCTTTTTCTTTACTGAAAAATACTTATATTGCATAAACAAATATTTTTCCTCTTAGGCTTGTTACTTATTCCCTCTCTTTTTCTTTAAAAATATGAACATTTAGAACTTTATTCATGCAGTAGGCGATTTGTTACTTTCTAAGTGGAATTTGATAGCGGTTGTCGAAACCTTGTTCATGACTGCGTTAGGACTCACGACGTATGATAACAAAGGTTTCCCTTGAAGAAATTAGGTAGCAATCGGCTAATATATTCAAAACTTAATTAATTGTTTTGGTTAATCTTGCTCTTCTAAATATAACGTGTTTTAAAACTAATATGACACTTCTGTCTTATATAGTTTTCTCAAGTAAGGAATAAAATGGAATTAAAGGATGAACTCCAGCGAGTTAAGTACCTCCTCTCGAATGAAAGTCTAGAGCTATTACCAGAATATCAACAAAGAATAGAGGTAAGAGCCGCCTGGTAAATCTCTTCTCGATCAATTTTCATTTAACTGTGCTCCTGTAAACTCTTTGTATATATTTGGGCATAGTTAGATTTGGTTTTAGTGCTGAAAGTTCTATAACACACACCTGGCTGGTTTAGGAGAATACTTTTGAAGATAAAATTTACAAAATGTAGTCAAAGTACATTACGGTTAAAATGCTAGGAAGGCTTTTCTTACAGTTACGTAGCTTCCATAAACGGAGATTAGTTTGTAGGTAGTTTTCCAACCCACATTCTAAAGGGCTCGAAAGAGTGACGTGAGGTTTGACGTCCTTTTGGAAACATGATCAAAAGTTACTTTGAATTAACTTAAATTTACCTAAAGCAATGCAGTTGGGAACTTTTGTTGTTTTTCGTATAGTTAGGGCAATGATTAAAATGCCTTTTACAAAACAGTACTCTATTTTCGTTGCTTATTTCTTCCATTGCCTTATCATTTTTTCTTCTTGACATATCCTAATTTCTGTTTCTTCACTTCCATCCTTGCTTTCACATCTTTTCTTCCCGACTTTTAGTCCTTTCCGTTTTCTGTATCATCTTCGTTTTATTTTTTTTCCTACTTTTCAACTTAATTGGCTTGTGCTTTTGGTTCTCATTTTAAGTCGCTTCTCTTTTTCGTTTTTTGTCTCCATATCTTTTCTCCACTGCTATGTGTCCAGTCACAGTTCACTCACCTTGACGTAATTGGACATCACCTTGACATTTATCAATGTATAATAGCTCTCGTGCGAGTAGAAAACTTTGTGAAACTCTGTTTTCAGGTTCTCAAGACACTGCGATACATTAATAAGGACCAGATTCTGAAGTTGAAAGGGCGCGTAGCTCGTGGAATCAGCAACAATGAATTAATGATAACAGAACTGGTGTTTGATAATCAGTTGACTCACCACAAGCCAACTGAAATCGTCGCTCTGCTATCTTGCTTTGTTTGTGAAGTGGTATGTTGTTGTTTTTCTTTGTATCAATTTTATGTCTTGTTCCACGTCATTTTATCAGTCCAGCTAGAGTGAGACAATTTTTTCTCCTGCTTTCCATGATATGTACTTAGAAGCATTCATATGGTCTCATATGTGACCGTACTATTGAGATTTCACTATGTGTTCTTTCCAAATGCCCATAATTTCCCCTTTAAGTATCTGGTAGATTTACCGCCTCTCATTGACCCTCTTGTATTCTTAGAAAAAGTCCAGTGAACCAGAACTGACAGAAACCCTAAAAGAGGTACGTATAGTAACCTTGATTATCCTCAACGTATCGTATCGTAGTCTTCAATGGTACTAACTCCTACTCTTGTCCCCATCAGAACCATCATCATAAAATACACTTAACAAGACTAAGGTTGATACAAATGCCCAATGCGATTCAAAACATTTTTCAAAACATGATTTAATTTACTTGGGGATGTGCTTTGTTTTTCTCGAGGAAAGTACCTGAGTTGACTTTTTTACCTACATGCTTTAGTAAAACGTTCCATTTTGGTATACCGTGCAAATTTTCACAAATTCAAATACCGTGCAAATTTTGATGCAGTTTTTGCATGAGTATTCCATAGACCTGCATATGCGTTTATTTCAAAGTCACATGGTAATTAAAATTTTGTGAATGAATTTCATCTGATAATATGTTCTCCGTAATTCGAAATTTTCCCATTTCAAATATTTTAGCAAATGAGTAGCACTAGATCATCGGCGGTAGTATCTTTTAGGAAAAATGACCTACGAAAACCGTTAAAAGGAGTTGGTTCCTCGGACTTGCCTCAAGTCATATGCTGTTTGAATTCGATAACTTAATAATCAAGTTTTCCAAATCACGCTGCAGCTCTGGTTTTTTTTGCCTACTGGTGTGCTCTAGTGATTTTATTTGCTACCTCCGTGTCTCAAATCCGCTTTATATCTTCTGCTATAAGAACACATTGATTTTAGGGTGTGCAAGTGATCAAGAAATGTGCAAAGGCTCTTGCTCAGATCCAAAAGGACTGTGGGATGTCCTTAACAGAGGAAGAATATGTAGAGTCGTTTCGCTTTGGATTGGTGCAAGTTGTTTATGAATGGGCAAGGGGGATACCCTTCAAAGAGATAACAGAACTCACTGATATTCCCGAAGGTCTGTAATACTCATTTTTGATTCTTTTAAAAGCCTTTCACACATGTGTAAATGCCGCCTTCTGATTTTTCTCTTAGTAAATAAGCTGTATCTTTTTAAACTATAACTTTTTAATCATAGGCGTTGGAGGGATAGGTGCTTTGAGGGCTGCAGTCCCTCCTAACAAAACAAACTTTTTCGAATATAAGGCTCCGTTCGAACATTTCTATCTCCATGTAGCAATATTATTCGGTGAGGGATCCATACTAAGCCTCCTAAACGTTTAGCATACGCCCATGTTTGACATTTTATTTCATTGCTAACTCTGATTGTCTTTTAGGTATAATTGTTCGCTGTATCCAACGACTTGATGAGATCTGTCGTGACGTTAAGGCTGCAGCACGTATAATCGGTGATCCGGTGTTGGTAGACAAGATGGAACAGGGCTCAAGTCTTATCAAAAGAGACATTGTATTTACTGGAAGTCTTTATACTAGTTGATTTTTAAATGCCTAGGATTTCTTAAACTGAATTGTAGCTAGATATGAATATATTCACGAAATCGTTATTTTGAAGATAAGCCTCGAAATCTTAAAATATTCTGGACGGGCGTTTATGTGATAATCTATTTATTTTCTCATCTTGGTTTTTTGAAAAAAACACATCCTGGTCAATGGCTTTGCTATGGGGGTATGGGGTTAAGAACGCTGTCTCATAAATGGATAATAGGATAGTTAAAGTACTCTTCTAAATCTGATGGCAGACATGCGGGAAGAAACCCCCTTTTTTCAAAACATTTTTGTGTAGTAGTAGCAAAATTATCAGTCTCTATGAATGCGACACCTTTTGGTTTTTATAGGCGTGGCACACAAACATTTTACCTCAAGGTAGCAACTGGAAGCCATTTTTGTAATTTGTTGAAACTTCAATCTATTGCATTCATGCCTTTTCTACATAGCTAAAAAAACTGATGCCATACTTCATATTTAACTCCATAGTACTTGATTAAGATAGCTCTTATTTTCACTTCCTTTGTATCGATGTGTTGATTTTATAAAGAGTCACATGTCCTTGGCAAATCAAAAAGGAAAGTGGATGAAAAAGTTTAGTTAGTATTTCGCCCGAAAGGTCAATTTTTTAATGTTTAAGTCTAAAAAAATTGTGAGTATTTTGACGGAAGGTTTCCTCCTCAGATGCAGTCAGTATTCACGTACAGACAGGTTTTTCAGCTCTTAATCTATATGTTTGGAGAGGGATCTGCATGGAAACAACATTAATAGACGTTTAAAAAAATGTGTTGCAATGGAAATTCTTCAACCTCTACTCAAGGAGCTTTTCTCATTCTCAAAACTGCATGGCCATCTTGAGTATCGTAAAATTAATCTCGGATAAGGACTTTTGAGCAGCTTGTCGGGGAAAATGCGTCCATTAGCAGCCTTGATAAAAACATACAAATGTGGACTAAAGTCTTGGCAGATAGTCCTCTAGATATTTTGTTACCAAGAGTTTCGTATTTAATTGAATTATCTTTGAAATTGTTTGTTTCTATTGGAAGCAGATTGCTTGATTTCTGAATGTTTATTGCATAGTTGTTGAGGAAGGGTCAATCCTATTCCTGTAAGAAAATAGTTTAAGTTAATCTCGTGTCGTTCCCAAAAACCGAATTTAATTCGGTGAATAGTCTTGCGACTCTAAATCCTGTTACAAAAACTGGACGTAGAGTTTTACCATCTGGATCATGTTCTCTTGATTGAGAGATTATACTACCAGTTACAGGAATAAAGATCAAGTGCCAGGACTGCCTGGTTCATTGAATTTGTATGTAGTGTGCGACACAATGAACAAGGTGAAAATGTTGCTTTTGAGCCTCGCTCTCGTCTGTTGTTGTAACGATGGAGAAGGAAGATGGCTGCGGAACACGTGGAACAACAAATCTCTAAATCGTGACACTGCACAACGTTACTGTAAGGTAGGGTCGATAAAATTTATTAGATTCTTCACATTAATACCTTAACATTAATGTTTATACATTCTGAAGTTTCTGTGAAGGAGACAGGTGGTGTTGCAGTGAAGTTGTTCCATCCATCATCAATTGATCACCACATTTTATTTTCATCATATCATTGTGTTTTATAGCAACTTCATAACATCTAACTGCTCTCTATTCACCCACCCGTTCTTGCTAACATTATTTGCTCTATTCTGACTAATAGTTTTTGTTGACAAACATTAGATTACAGAAATTTAAATATTTTACAGAAACTTTCTGTAAATTATTCTTCTTCTCTTCTTCTTCTTCTTACTTTTCTTCTTCTTTCTTTAAAATTTCTAAGCATTGGTAATGTATTTCTTCCAAATACATCCTCTCCTTTTTTTATTGACATGCATCTAGAATGAGGCCAGTGAATATCCATCCATCATTTTCTATCATTTTCTCCTTTCTTGTTTACCCTTTACTTAGAGGTTGAATTCTTGCTCCTTGTTTTATGCACTGTTTGAGGGAAGTGGGGTAATATTTTCAGCACACTTAACAATTTCTTTAAAGATTCAAGTAAAAAATTAACTTTCATAGTGAACATCTGTCACAGTGTAGCAAGTGAACGTACAGATTTAAGGATTTGAATTTGGATAACAAGATTGGATGGTTCACTGTATCAAAAGCCTTTCTTAGGTCTAGATAAAGAGCACCAGTATCATTATCCATGTCAGTGTAAATTGTATCTATCATGTGTAAGAGGGCAGACATAGTTGAGTGGAGGTAATTACTCATTAAACAATTAGACATTTTTCTTATGCTCAGTTACTTTTTTGGGCTTTCTATTCAATCTTTTTCTAAGTGTTGGTAACATTTTTCTTCACATCCTTTTCCTGATTAATTAGAATCTGCTGTCCAATTCTGCCTTCATCATTGTTTGTGGTCTCCTGTGACTTCAGCTGTCAGATCAAGTTGTCCTTGTTGTCCTCCTGGTTGTTATTCGTCCATCTAGAATTGGGTCTTCATCATACTGCATTTTCTCTTCAAGTTGACAATTTTTTGCTGGCTCTTCTGTCTCTGCCTTCTTTAAATATCCAGATTATTATAATCTGGTGTCTTTCATATTTCTCAAATGTTACAGATTTTTCAGAGTTTTCAGAGTACACCACCATTTTTTCAGCAATCTCTCAATAATACTCCCATAATACACTTGAGCATTCTCATTTTTGTCTTTTACAGCATCTTTTCGATCCCCTTTATCAATGTTTGGGTTTTTTTAACCACACCAAATACTGAGATAAAGCTTCACAGTAAGCTTCTTGGTCATTAAGTTGTTGTTTATAATGCTAGACAGTTATCTCCATTTGTTCCCAGTGGTCATCAATGTGGCGCTCACTTTTTCTGCTCCTCAGTCTAAACACAATGTTAAACCAAGGTATTTTAAATTCTGATACTGATATAGACTTTTGTTACCCACCTTGAGCTCTTCTTTCATCATTCTTTTGTGTCACTTGTTGCAGTTTATGCTGCAACTCTGCTTCACTCTCTGCCATCAAAACTAGATTGTCTCCCAACAGAAGTTCCCACAACTCTTCTTCCCTCAAATCTTCACTGACCACATCAAACACTATTATGAAAAGAAACAGACTCAATGCTGAACTTTGACACAATTGAAAATTTATATTAAATTCATCTGTACCTTCATACAATGCTCGTAAATTGGTATGTGAATAGTGATACCTTGCTTGTACATGCCAACCAGTCTCTCTTTTATTTAGCAGGTAATGTTAGAGCAAGGCTCCTAAAAGCCCAAATAAGGGAAAGGGAGAAGAAATTTTAAAGAAAGCTAGGAAAATCCA